GTTGACCTAGGCTGACCCTGCTTATCTGACCTAACTTATACCTAATTACTTAACCTGGTCTTATCTTTACCTAATCTCCCTAACCTACTTTAACACAATTATCTGACCTAACCTAACCTAACCTAACCTAACCTAACCTAACCTAACCTAACCTAACCCATCTAACCTAAATTTACCTTACCTGACTAATCTAAAGGATTTAACATAACTTAATATAACCTAACCTACCTTGACACAAGTTTCTTAACTACACCCCAATATTTTAAGTTAAATGAGGTAATTAACATAACCTGACTTAATCCAAATATTATCTAACCTAATCTATCGAGACTAACTTATCCCCAGGTAGATACATAATTTAACCTGACCATTTTAACCTATTTGACTTAACTCAAAGAATCTAACCTAATCTAATCAATTTAATCGAATCCAAATTACCTTACCTTAACCCACCAAACATAACCCATATTAGTTTGACTTTATCTAAACTACCAAACCTAACCCCAAATTATCTTAAACTTAACCTCAGCTACCTTAGTCATCAAATTTCCCCAGTGTCGGTGCCTCCAAAGATGATGATGATGGCGAGTTTGGAGGAGACGTGGAGGAGTTTGGAGGAGACGTGGAGGAGTTTGGAGGAGGGTGAAGCTCTTGAAGGAGTCAGTCAAGTATTAGTTGTTGAAGGAAGGAATATCTTATGTTATTTCACCTTTCCTGGTCGACGATTCTATTAGTGACGGTATAGCTAAGGAATACATACCATCTCATATATCCAGTTTATATAGTATTACGCTATATGTATAATGCTTGTATTACAATTTACAACAGTTGCGTTATCCTCACTTGTGGGAGACCTCATAAATCAACAAGTGAGGCCAATGTTGTTTTAATACAAACATTCACACGATCTCCGCGAAAGCACATAAGGCTATTTGTATGCACTATTCTGAGACACCCTGTATTTTTAGAAAGTTTATTTTTAGCCATCTTTTCTGTAAATTTTCAGTAAAAAGTAGCTGAGAAATAGGTAATGGTACTAGTAACTGGGAACTAGAAATTGGTACTAGTAAATACAAACTAGGAATAAATTAATCAAACGTCAATCCTGGAATGTGAGGATAAACATCAACAGAAAAAGAAGACAGAGTGAAGGGGAGACTCCACCATATGGTTACTCTTCTACCCCGTACACAATATATCAGGTATCTTAATAATCTCATAAAAGACGACAGAGTATTGATTGGCTTACTGTAAGGGGGTAGGAACCAGTGCACTCAGGGCCAGGAACTTACTATAAGGGGGTAGGGACCAGTGCACTCAGGGCCAGGAACTATTGTAATCTGGATCAGAGGCTTTATTTGTGATCTGGTAGTCGGGGATCAGTACTCATGGAAGTTTTACAAAGGATAGGAATGTTCTGCCGTCACTGATCTGAGTTAAATAAACACGTGTATTAAGGAGCACTGAAACTTCTCACACACACAAAACTACTTTATTATTCAGGAAATGGGTGGGGGGACGGGGGGGGGGGGATAATTAAAACCTAAATCACCACGATCACAAAAAAACAACCCACCACCACCATGAAGGAACAAGACTGGTGCATCATAACCACTCCTTCATTCGCCATGCTCATAAATTCTGAACGAGGCGAAGCACAAGCAGGCGATACTCGATCCAATCAGCGTGGCGTTATGGCAGTACTAATGGACGCCAGGGGGCGGCGCTGAGGCGATTAACACGAGTAGGAAGAGGGGCGGAATGCACAAAAATAGGACTGACGTGGAAAAAATAGAGAAGTAATGGTCCCTAATGGGGGTAATCTGATTCGGATCTCGTGCATCGTCGAAGGTAAGGGTTATGCGAAATCCCCCTCTCCCTCTCTCTCTTCCTTCCTACCTCACCCCTTCTTCTCTCCCTGCACTGTGTATTTATAAACACTTCAATGTATTTCTCTGTATGCCACTGTGGTGTTTGTGTGACTGGCATATGTGAGTATTTTGGGTTTATGTTACTTAGCTACGTGATTGGTAGTCCTCATTTATCGAGAAAGACCTTTTTGTTTTGTTTTAATTGGCTGTGGTCGTTCTTTACTACATAACCTTGAAATCATAGTTTCTCTTCTCTACTACATAACCCGGAAACATTATCTCTTCTCTTATGCATAACCCTCATTGGTTCCTATCTTCTACAAAATCACTGGTTCTTCTCTTCTACATAACCCTGAAACACTGATCCCTCTCGACTACATAACCTCTGCAAAATAGTCTACATCCCCGCCCACACCAGCGTTCACTCCGAGATGCATTTATCAGGCCCCGCGTTCTAAACTACTCACAGCAGTCACAGATAAACACGAATTATTCACCTCCATCGCCTCGTGCAGCCACCCTGAGTCTCAACAGGAGGTCCATAACTGAGCCTCTCGCCAGTTTACCGAGGTTTACGTATAATTGAGAGCCTCCTTCCTACCCCAATTCTTCTTTCTATCCCCTTCTTCCTCCTCCTCCTCCTCCCACCACGTATTACTAACCCTGCTTCCTCCTCTTCTTACTACCTCTTGCTCCCCTCGCTTCCTCCTCCTACTTTCTCTTCCTTCCTACCTCCGTATCTCTTCTTGCTTCCTTTACATTCTTCTTCTTCTACTTGGCACACTTCACCTTCCCGGAACTTGTGACAGCGGCCTCAAATACCAGAGTGTCATGCTCCCCCCACTAAAAAAGAGGAGGTGGAGCAGAGATGAGGAAGAGGAAGGGAAAGCAGAAAAGGAAGAGGTCGAGGAGAGGGGTGAGGAGGTGGAGGAGAGAGATAAGGAGGGGGAGGAGGAAGGGAAGCAGAGGAGGTGGGGGAGAAAGATGAGGAGGAAGAGCGGGGAAGCAGAAGAGGGGGAGGAGGTTGATGAGATAGATGAGAAGAAGAAGGGAAGCAGAAGAGGAAAAGAAGAAGCATGAGATGAGGAGGACAGGAAGAAGAAGCACACCACACGACAGGAGAGAGAGAGAGTGAGAAGTGGTGGTGGAGGAGAAGCAGAGAAGGAGGATGAGGAAAGAATCTAAACGAAGAGGAGAATATGAAGAAACAATAAGATGAAAAGGAGTAAGAGTATAATGATAAAGACGAAGAACAAGAGGGTGAATAAGTACAACACGAAAGAAGAAGAAAACACAAAGGCGATTACACACTCTCTCTCATTGTGCAATAAATATAAGTAAGTTTTTCAGTGGTTTTGTTTACTATGTTTATCTGGTGGATTATTTATATACGTCCTTCTCCTCCTCTTCTCCCTTATCATTGCTTCCCATGTCTATCCCTTCCTCCTACCCCTCCCTCTCACTCTTCTACTACCTCATTCTCCCTCTCCCCTTCACTCCCAATACTTCACTCTCACGTCCGTATGTTAAAAAAAGTAAATTTAGGGCCCCACTTGACACCCCATCGAAGGTGTGATGGGTAAGTCACCTAATTTTAATAGTCATCAGGAGTAAGGGTGAGGTTGGTAGCCCTGCTTCACCTTTCCTCGCTGCTCGGAGTAAGTTATATTATACAGAAGGAGCGTTGCTAGAAGAGCCAAAGGGCGCCCTGGTCAATAAAAGCCATGACTTGGGTTGATATCTAAGAAGAGAGAGGTTTGGGAAGAGGTGATGGAGGTCTTAAGCTCAGCCGGTAGTGTGACCTCCTAGACGCCAACAGTAGCTCCGGAAGACATGGGAGCAGACAAAGGACAAGTATATATTAACGTATTATTTACATTTACCGTACGTTCAAATTATGGTTGTCTGATATCAGTTCACCGATGTTGGCTGGTCCTTAACCCCCTGGATTTGTTATATTCTTATGGGATTAATTGCTTGGCCACCATCCTTTTGTGTATACAGTAAACAGTACTCACTCACAATACTCGTGTGTATTGTTTTGTGATGTGTGTGTGTGTGTGTGTGTTTGTTTTACATGTGAGCATCTGTTTTGTGTATGTACGTTTTTGTGCTGTGTGTGGATGTACATTTTTGTGGTGTGTGTGTGTGTGTGTGTGTGTTTCTTCGGTCTCTTGTGTGTATAGGAAGGTATAACAAGGCCACTTAGGATCATCTCGTCATCAGCGCTTGTTATTGTATCGTTACCAAGATCAAAGGTTAGGAAGGCTCTCTCTCTCTCTCTCTCTCTCTCTCTCTCTCTCTCTCTCTCTCTCTCTCTCTCTGTGTGTGCGTGCGTGTGTGTGTGTGCGCGCGCTAGGTCACCCACTCACATCTTGCAAGGGTTTAAAACAATTTACGATCTGGCCCTGCTTCTTAAGGTAAGGTCAGGTCAGGTCAGGTCAGATATCTTCTTGGTCGTTAATGAACCGATATCGTTACGTTATCCTCGGCCTTTACTCTATATTTCTTTCGTTTAACTTTTATCTCTTTATCTCATGTTTTAATCCACTCTGATGGTAAAAGGTTTCGTGGCGGATACAACCATGGCTCTGACGTCTGTTGTCTGCGCCATAACCAAAGCTATATTAAGGGTCGAATATATTTTTGTTTCTGTATCTTTTTTGTAATTTATTTTTTATCTTTATTTATTTTTATTTGTCGTAATAATCAAGCGAGGACTTGATTCCAGGCCCAACTCTTGTTTATTCCAGGCCCAACTCTTGTTTATTCCAGGGTCAGTGTGTTTATTCCAGGCCCAGGACTTGTTTATTCAATGGCCAGCTGTATTCATTTGTCATTATTGACTTAATACTCAAAACACAGACTTAGGAACGGAAGCATTAACCCCCTACGTAACACCGAAAGTAAAACATACGTAACAAAACATATTTCACGTTCAATATAATACAAAAAAAGTGAATTACCTTATCATCACATACATATCTATTTAGCCCCTCCCCCCCTTCCCCCCCCCCATTCTCGAAAAATAAAAGTCTACTATAAAAGGTTAAACAGATGTGGCCACCAGCTGACTCTCACCTCCCCCCTCCATCACCCGCCCAAGTGACCCCTCTCTCAGTTACTCACCATGGCATTCCTGACGGTGACAAAGATGCTGTTGACGTCTCCATCCTCCTCCTGGATGTGCAGTGTCTCTAACATTAGGCCGTGAGGGTTGATGAGGTTCACCATATTGCCCACGTGACCCAGGGCGTAGTAGGTCAGGGCGAACCTGACCTCTCCTCCCAGGGACTCGTCAATGTTGAAGGTGCCCTGAGAGATGCTCATGATGCCGCCCGGGAACTCCTGTGGGAAGTGAAGATGGTAGAGTTAGTTCAGGAGTTTCACATTTTATTTTTTTTATTTTTTATTTTTTTAGGTTAAGAAGGTGGTTATTAAATGAGTGTAGGGAAAAAATATGTGGTATTGTGTTGTATTTCGTGCGACCCCTCACACCTCCCTCTCACCCCTCTCATCCCCCACACCTCTTCTTATCCCCCCACACCTCTCTCATCCCCCACACCTCCCTCTCATCCCCACACCTCCCTCTCATTCCCCACCCTCATCCCCCACACCTCCCTCATCCCCACACCTCCCTCTCATCCCCCACACCCCCTCACCCCCACCTCCTCTCACCCCCCCACGCCTCCTCTCATCCCCACACCTCTCATCCCCACACCTCTCACCCCCCACCTCCCTCTCATCCCCACACCTCCCTCTCATCCCCCACACCTCTCTCCACCCCGCCCTCTCTCTCACCCCACACGCCTCCCTCTCATCCCCCACCTCTCCTCATCCCCCACACCTCCCTCATCCCCACACCTCTCTCTCACCCCACACCCTCCCCTCATCCCCCCACGCCTCCCTCTCATCCCCCCCCTCCCTCTCATCCCCCACACCCTCTCATCCCCACATCCCTCATCCCACACCTCTCTCTCACCCCCCACGCCTCCCTCCTCATCCCCTACACGTCACCCAACGTTATTTGGTGTCCGTATCAGCAGTGGCCGCCTCCCTACCTGGTTCATACATATCTATATTAGGGAGTTACGGCAGGACAAGACCCAAGACCCTCCATACCAAGACAGGTGTACTCTCTCTCTCTCTCTCTCTCTCTCTCTCTCTCAAGTCTCACTACAAATCATCTTTTTTTCACTTAATATAATCACTCACTCCAATTACTTTTATCTTCGCTCTTCCTTCAGCTTTCACACTAATACATCCTTTTAATTTCCTTCCTTAGTTCCTTTTCACTCGTCCATTTTATTACATGCTCCTCTAGGCCTTAACAAGCTTTTATCCTAACACCACGAGTAGTAAGGCTTCAAGTGATGTCACAGATCAGCTGACGGTTTGTTATGACTCTTAGGCTGACGTCACTGATCAGCTGACGGATTGTTATGGCTCTCGGAATGAATCGGCACTGACTGGCTGCAATGTGGTAATGCCTCTTCACTAAGTTCCTGATCCAAGGTGTTTCAGTAACGTTGTGTTGTGTAGTCAGACATGGAGAGGACAGTTCAGGTTGGATATTTACTGATAATACTAGGACAATATATTAGCTATATGCTAGACTCACGTGAAGATTAGGCACCCCAGCTTACTTCACGTGATGATTAAATACCCAAACTAAACTAAACCAAACCAAACCTAACCTAACCTAACCTAACCGCTTTCGGTCTTTAATCGCACGTGAAATAAACTGTGTTGCCTAATTTTCACATGATCGATTTACTGTATAAAGTGAAAATCATTAACTGTTTCAGGTATAAAGGTTTAAGAGTATTGTGATAGGAAGGTTCCCCATACAGGCCAACGCGTGGTGTGTGAATGTTGCTCTAATTACAACACACTTGAGCGTCAATGGGTGTTGGTTGGCACAATTATCTCAGAGCCTCGGGTAGGAGCTGGGTGGAGAAGCGGCCATAATGTATATTTACTTACCCCTGACCTTTGCTGTTTTTAGTCGTACAATAGTTCTATAATTTCTCCCTGGATTATCACAAGCTTTACTGTGTAGCAGAGTAAACGATGTATTGAAAGTCCTCCTAATTTTATTTTTTTTCCAAGCTATTTGTTTTGTGGTTATAATAAAGTAATGTATATATTTCTATTTTCATTTAGGAGAAACACGAGCAATTCTCTTTACTTCTAATAAATGTAAAAATCTCTTAAGGTCAAAGTTGCAACAGGTGAATGAATAATTGGAGGAGCAAGGTGTAAAGATTATCTCACTCCTCTCTGACCTTCTCTCACTCCTCACTCTTCTCGCCTTTTATCTTATTTTCTCGGTATAAATATCTGTCTCTTACCTGAATAATCTAATGTATTATGAGTTAAAAAAAAATCCAACTTGTTCTATTTTACTAACATTATCTAAGTTACAATCTTCTGCAAGCTGTCCTTCTTAACCAGTCTTATATGATAAAAGCTACATTATTCTGCAGCCTAAAGTCTAATCTTGTTTACATTATAGTCTTTCTCAACCTGTTATATCTGCCCAGAATAATTTCACAGTTGTATATGTTAAAAAAAAGTAGTTGTTGTGTTCCCCTGAGGAGCATGAGGGACCCGCCCTTCTCCACACACTATGTAAACAAATCCACCTGTGAACTGTAACGTCATGGCAACCTGTAGTTAAACAAAACATTCCTTCAGTGAGAGACTCGGGTTTTGGCTTTTATAAAGCTGGATGGCTAACGGAATAAACACACTAAAATACCTAACAGCTTGGACTGTAATTACACACGTGACTATATTAAATACGTAACAGGACTTCACTGCATTACCCCCATGGTGCTCTGCTCTTCATCCATCCCTTACAATTAACTCCTGCTCTCGCTCTCTCGCACGACCAAGTATTTTTTCCACACTTCTACAAAGACTTCAATACAACACTCATCCTCCCCCCATTTTTTTCACCGACCCGGCAAGTCCTATTGTCCACCTGCCAACATATTGTCGTGTGAGTGCTTAAAATCTGCAATTTCCTCCACCTTTATTTTTTTCTCAGCATTTTTTTTTTTCGCTGTAGCAACACTCTGATCCCCCTGTGCTTCCTCCTGCCCCCCAGTATATGCATTGAGGAAATTAAAAGCGAAGATAGCTTGAGGAAAGTCGAGTGTTATGAACAGAGGGCTTATGATGGTTAATTCCTGGAGCACAATGACATTAAGCATCCCCGTAAGTACTCCGAGGGGCAAGTCATCATATTCAAGGGGCAAAGTTATCGTATTCAAGGGGCTAAGTCCTCATAATCAAGGGGTAGGATCATCGTACTCAAGGGACTGACAACGTAATTCAATGGGTTTAATTTTTGTACTCAGGGTGTAAAATCATTGTACTCAAGGGGTTAAGTTAACGTACTCAAGGGGATAACATAGCTTAATTAATCAATGAACTAATACATTGTACTTTGGGGATGATATCGAACTGAAAGAGATAATGACGCAAGGAGGGTGAGGGGGGGAGGTGAGGGGTGTGGGGGAAGTGAAGTGAGGTGGTGAGGTAAGAGGGTGTGAAGGGGAGGTGAGGGGTGTGGGGGAAGTGAAGTGAGGTGGTGAGGTAAGAGGGTGTGAAGGGGAGGTGAGGGGTGTGGGGAAGTGAAGTGAGGTGGTGAGGTGGTGAGGTAAGAGGGTGTGAAGGGGAGGTGAGGTTGAAGATGTAAGAGGTAGGGGGTGAAGGTGTAAAGAGGCAAGTGAGGGATGGGTGTAAGAGGGTGTAAGGATAGTTGAAGGAGTGAGGGATAGGTGAGAGGAAGTACTGTATATGGGCAGAGGGAAGGCCAGGTTGAGAGAGAGAGAGAGAGAGAGAGAGAGAGAGAGAATTATGAGTGACCAGACGCAGTTGTATTCCGTCGGTCACATTCCAATGTTTTCCTCAGTGTCGACAACATGGCGGCTTCTTTCCCCAACAATCGACTAACAATATGGAACACTAATCGAACACATGATATATCCTGTTCTCTACCCTCATACTGCCAGTCTACCTTCACACTCCACTCCCCTCTTCCCTCACACTTACTCCTTCCATCACACTCCACTCTTCCCCTCACACTCCTCTCCTCCCCTCACACTTTCCCTCCTTCTCTCACACTCCCTTCCTCCCTTACCCTCACACTCCCTTCCTCCCTTACCCTCACACTCCCTTCCTCCCTTACCCTCACACTCCCTTCCTCCCTTACCCTCAACCCCCCCCCAAAGTGATTTCCTCTCCTCTTCCCGTTGCTCAGGTGTTTTATTAAAAGTGCAGTTAATTGTTTTCATATTCTATTGTTTGTTTTGATTTTGTTTAATTATTGACAGTGCATTGTTTGTATTTAAGTAATTGTTTTGTTTTATGTAGTGTCTGCTTCTGGAATACCAACAATAATAATAATAACAACTACTACTACTAGTAATAATAATAAAAATAAAAATAATAATAATAATAATAACAATAATAATAATAATAATAATAACAACATATATTACTTTTCAAATACTAGTAATTAATTGAAAATACAAATAGTTACTATAAAAGTAACTCTAATTAAAATTAGCCCCCGTGTGTAATAAAAATTGGTGACTAATTAAACATAAATAAATAAATTAATTACCATAACCACACAGGAGGTCACCACTCATTGCCATCGATTACCAAAGAGATTTAAAATGTATAAACGTCGAACCCAATCCTAACCAGTCCGGGGCGAGGATCTGGTACACGTGAGGACTTTATATTGAACCTAACAATGAGTTGGTTCAGGTGTGTTGTATTTTAGCTGTATATTAATGTACGCGAATAATGCAGGTACTGTATGTATTTTTGGATCTCCATACATTATAAATTACCGTAGTGCAAAGCATGGTAATAACTGTTTGATCTATCAGTAATTTTAATCATCAGCGTTTCTACCACGATTCCTGTGTTGTTGTGGTGGTGGTGGTGTAGTGGGGGTGGTTGTGAAGTGTGGTGTTGAGTAGTGTAGTTGGGTGGTGGTAGTGTGCAGTGGTATTGGGTTGTAGGAGTGTATAATGGTATTGTTTTGTAGTGGTAGTGGTGTTGGATGGTGATGGTACTGTAGTGTTGTGTAGTGGTAGTGGTGTTGGGTTGTGGTAGTGTGTAATATTACGGTTGTTGGATTAGTGAGCTTGTGTGGTGACGGTAATGTCCAGGTGCTGGTGGTAGTTACGGTAGTAACACTCCCCCTCCTCTACCCTTCACCCCCACCGTGTTCAGTCCACACATGCTGTGCCAGTCAGCCAGCGGCAGACTCCTAAATGATACGAGGAATTTGTGATTCCAATCAACTTTGTTATGCAGTTTGAGTTCGCAGACCCAAAGGCTGCAACACCATGTAACAAACTCAGGTAAAACTATCCTTTGAGTCCGGACTTCCTGACCTGATTATATGTGCCAGAATGATGCCACTCTGTGTATTGTATACTGTGTGGGGAGTGAGGGTGTGGTGTGGGGAGTGAGGGTGAAGTGTGGGGAGTGAGGGTGTGGTGTGGGGAGTGAGGGTGTAGTGTATTGTGTAAGGAGTGAGGGTGTGGTAGGCGAGTGGCGAGTGGTAGTAACAAGGTGGGATACAGAAGGAGGGGTGGCGAGGGCGTGACTGGCGATATGATGGAACGATGACGAAGTGTTAGGGCGAGGGTCATGATAAGGAAGAGTGGGGCGGGGGGGAAAGGGAGAGGAGGAACGCTGAGAGGGGAAGGAAAGGAAAGGAAGTGTTTGTGGCCCTTCACTTAAAGTTCAGAGGTTGAGGAGAGAGGGGGTAAGAGGAGGAGGAGGAGGAGGAGGAGGCCCGGAGTCAAAACAACATCACCACAAGTCACCCCTCGTACCTGTGACCTTCAAGGAGCCAACAGGTGTAACAAATAATAATAATATAATACAAACTGATGACTATTACAACACATCGAATTAAAATCATGTCATACCCGTGGATATGTATGTACAGTATATGTGTCTCTCCATATGTATTTATGTATGTGTGTTTTAATAAATTAGACATACAATTAGTCTATAACACATATTCGTCAATACCCACTCTCTCATGCCCACTCCTTTCCAAACCTCCCTTAATCCCTTCCTCTTTTCTCTCTTCCACCGACCCCTTTCCCCCACCTCCTCCACCCACCTCCTCTACCCACCCACCTTTTTATGGACGAGGAGGGGAAGTTGCTCAGCGTCGGGGATGAAGAGTCTCAGAGCGGCGTAGAGAGCGTCCATCAGACACACCATCATGGATACTTTGCTGTCACTGCCGATCCCTTCGTCCAGCACGGCGAACGACTGTGTTCCTGTGGGGGTGAGAGGTCAGGTCAGGTCAAGTTAGGTGATAATAAAAAGGTCAGTTTAACATATTAAGTTTGATTTATAAGGCCAGGTGAGCATACAAGGTCAGCTTAATACTATAGACTGTACAGAAGGTCAGTTTAATACCAAGATAGTTACACAGGGTCTGCTTAATATTGTGTCAGCTTCATTCAGGTGGTTAAGTGTCAAATCAAAGAAACTAAGCATAATTTAGGAAATTAAGCTTAGGTGGTTAGGTTAATTTAGGTTAGGTTAAGTTACATTAAGTTTAGTTAAGTTAGGTCAGGTTAAGTTAAGCTGACTGAAAACAAAAATTAAGATCACTGTAAGTTCATCTTATTTCTCAAATGACATCAAAACTAAGACTAAATTTACTTAATATACGAAATACTATACGCAGTGAATACCTCAACACCTGATCTTAACTTCAACCAATCATTACGTTTCCCTCCCTCAATAACCACCAGTAATATTAAGCAACATTGTGATGTAACGATTGAGTACCAACAAGCAACAAAGTTTAACGTGGTGTAACGATTGAATACCGACAACCAACAAAGTTTAACGTGATGTAACGATTGAATACCGACAATCAACAAAGTTTAACGTGATGTAACGATTGAATACCGACAACCAACAAAGTTTAACGTTATGTAACGATTGAATACCGACAATCAACAAAGTTTAACGTGATGTAACGATTGAATACCGACAATCAACAAAGTTTAACGTGATGTAACGATTGAATACCGACAACCAACAAAGTTTAACGTGATGTAACGATTGAATACCGACAACCAACAAAGTTTAACGTGATGTAACGATTGAATACCGACAACCAACAAAGTTTAACGTGATGTAACGATTGAATACCAACAAGTAAAACTTTAACCTGATTTATCTTATGACCTCTCACCCCACCTGTCACTAATACGTAAAAAAACTGTAATGTCACCATGTACAGAAAACACCCACCAGGTATATTCATTTTATTATCTAGAGTAGAAATTACGAGAACATATATAATGAAGTGGTTAATTAACATTCTGTGAGAGACATCTGATTTCTATTGTCAGGAAATGTTCGCCCGTGGGATGACAGTGATTTCTGTTTCTTGAGTACGATGGCTGCCTAGAGTACGATGGTAGTCTAGAGTGCGATGCGAACGTCTCGAGTACAATGACAACCCAGAGTACGATGGCAGTCCAGAGTACGATGCTAACCCCTCAAGTACGATGACAACCCAGAGTACGATGGCAGCCCAGAGTACGATGGCAGCCCAGCGTGCGATGACAACCCCCTGAGTACGACGACGCCCTTTGAGTACGATGCTAACCCCTTGAGTACGATGACAACCCCCTGAGTACGATAACACCTTAAGTATAATATCAACTCACTCATTGAACTTGGTCATCGTACTCAAGATGTTAAATCATCGTAATCATTGGGTGAAAGTGCGTACCTTACCTAGTGGGCAATTTTATCGTACTCAGGGGTTAGCATCGTAATCAAAGGGTTGTAATCATATTTAAGGTGTTGTAATTGTACTCAAGGGGGGGTTGAAATAACTTACTCGGTGAGCATCGTACTCAAGGGATTGGCATCGTACTCAAGGGGTTGTCATCGTATTTAAGGTGTTGTAATTGTACTCAAGGGGGGGTAAAAATACCTCACTGAATGGGCTCTTTCATCATACTCAAAGGAATGGCATCGTACTCAGTATTTACATTGTACTCATGAGGCTTATGATACCTTACTCAGTGGAGGTATATTTTATCCGATATCGTACTCAGAAGGTTAAGCGTGTCTGTGTGTTGACATCAGATACAAACTCACTGAAAGCTTTTTGTTACAGAATAGACTATTTCACACAACAATTCTGACAGTTCACGTAAACATTAACTGATACGTGCTGATTACTGAATGACAACACTATTTGATATTTTGTTTGCTGACATTTAAAGACCCAGTGTTAACCGTGTTGCCAGCTGGAACATTAGCCAGAGTTGCCAGGTGCGGTAAAAGTCAGTGTTGCCAACTGAGATAGGGAGGCAAATCAGTGTTACCTGTCGAAACAAATCAATGCTGCCAGTTGTGACTAATCGGTGTTGCCAGATGCAGTTAGGACATAAGTCACACACACACATTGCCAGTATTTATCAGTCAATTGATCCATAGCAATTTGACAATATGAGGACCTCCTCTACATCACACTGCTTGGTGAGCTTTCTGGATTTTCTGCACAAAAACTTGCAGAAACGTAAGACATCACTGGCCGTTGCCCTTGTGGACTTCAGGAAGGCCTTTGACCTTGTTGATCACTGCACTGTTATCAACAAGGCTATTGCACTAGGGCTGCCCACCAACCTGGTCTCATGGGTCACTGATTTCTTGAGTGGACGTCGCCAAGCAGTGAGGTATCAGGGCTTGGTCTCTACATTCTAACACCTCACCTGCGGTGTTCCCCAGGGGACCAAGATGGGACCACTGTGCTTCCTCATACTGATCAACGACGCTCTATCGGACACTCCTCACAGGGGGAAGTACGTGGATGACTGCACTGTGGGGGTTTCAGTGGACAACACCGCACCAGACTACTCATCGCTCCAAGGCACCCTGGACAGGCTACAGGCATGGACTACGGAGAACAAGGTCACCATCAACCACACCAAAACCGTAGTCATGCATATCAATACCGCCATCACTCCAGTGCAAGCTCCAGCAGTCACAGTGGGTGCCCATCCTCTCCAGCTGGTGCAGTCTGCCAAACTCCTGGGTGTAACTATAGACAACAAACTTGACTGGAAGGCCCATGTAAATAACACAGTCAAGGCAGCCTCGTATCGTCTCTACATGCTACGAAGACTTAGGTCACTTGGGACACCCACGCCAGAGCTGAGGACCATCTACAACGCCTTTATTCTCCCCAAACTAACGTATGCGTCACCAGCCTGGTCGTCTTCTCTCAACTCCACCCAACAACGTTAGCTAGAGAAGGTACAGAAAAGGGCCTGCAGAATCATGCTCGGCGCAGAATACTCCGGCTACACCAACGCTCTCTCCATCCTGGAAATGCCATCCCTCAGTGACCTCCACCACCAAGTACTGGAAAGGTTTGGCCGTGGACTACTGCACCACCCTCGCCATCGCCACCTCCTGCCGCCCCCCACCCAACTCGCGCAGTCCGCCACTACAACAAAATTCAGCCCATAAGAGCCCACGCCGATAGATATAAGAACAGCATCATCCCATCTATTGTTAAAATAATAAACAACTCCTGATTTATGTACTGCACAGCCCTGTAAATGTATTCAATGCATATTATATCATTATGTCTAAATTAAATGTAAGTCTGTATATTTTCAGCCACCGGCTGCAACTCTATTAATAAACCGTTTATTATTATAATTTATTATTATTACACACACACACACACACCACCACCACCAGTTGAAGCACAAATCAGTGTTGCCAGCTGATTAATGGAAAACAACCACGGGGCCACAATTTCCAGCATTAGTGATGGTAACGCTGAACCCCCTGACTTCCAAATGCCAGCTCTTCACGGCTGACGTTAGCGCCTGACTGACTTTCATGATGTTAGTGCCTACCAAAGTCGGGTGCGTTGAGAACAGTTCAGGAGTCGGGTGCGTTGAGAGCACGATATAAAGTCGGGTGCGTTGAGAACAGTATATAGATAGACTCGGGTGCGTTGAGAACAGTATATAGAGTCGGGTGCGTTGAGAACAGTATATAGAGTCGGGTGCGTTGAGAACACTATATAGAGTCGGGTGCGTTGAGAACAGTATATAGAGTCGGGTGCGTTGAGAACACTGTATAGAGTCGGGTGCGTTGAGAACAGTATATAGAGTCGGGTGCGTTGAGAACAGTATATAGAGTCGGGTGCGTTGAGAACACTATATAGAGTCGGGTGCGTTGAGAACACTATATAGAGTCGGGTGCGTTGAGAACACTATATATAGAGTCGGGTGCGTTGTGAGCAGAAAAACAAATGCTTCTACCAATGTATTCTTTAAGTCATCACCCCCCGTAGAACACTATTATAATCACTATTAGTACAGTTAGTTACAGCTTTTACAGTTAGTTGGTTACAGTTAGTTATGGTTACAGTTATTTACAGGTACAGTTAGTGATAATTATAATTAGTTATAAGTACAGTTAGTTACAGCTACAGCTAGTTATCATTACAGTTAGTTATAGTTACAGTTAGTTACAGCTCCAGTTAGTTATCATTACAGTTAGTTACAGTTATTTATAACTACAGTTAGTTATCATTACACTCAGTTCCACCTACAATTAGTTATAGCTACAGTTAGTTATTACTACAGTTAGTTATCATTACACTCAGTTACACCTACAGTTAGTTATAGCTACAGTTAGTTATTACTACAGTTAGTTATCATTACACTCAGTTACACCTACAGTTAGTTATTACTACAGTAAGTTATAGTTACAATTAGTCATCATTATAGTTAGTTACATCTACAGTTAAGTGTTGACATTTACAGGGAGACAAGAGGACAGTCACCGGGGCCTCTCAGTTACTGGGGATTACCTTCTGCAATTAGTTCTGAACGAAGCTCACACAGTATTTTACCTCTCCATACTACTTTGTCAACCTTGTTTAACACGTGAGGGCTTGTTTGTAATCATGATCACCTTGTTAATGTCAAATGTTCATTCAGTTGTTTCTTAAAGGGTTTCCGAGTATACAGTATATATGGTGCTGATTAATCTCTCTCTCTCTCTCTCTCTCTCTCTCTCTCTCTCTCTCTCTATATATATATATATATATATATATATATATATATATATATATATATATATATATATATATATATATATAAAGCATATTCTTAAGCTAGCGTAAGAAGTAAAGCAACAATATTATTAATACTTATAATAATAATAGTAAACAGGCAATAACCAAATGGTCACATTCGTTGTACATGAGGTCAATGTA